TTTCCACAACTTCACCAAACTTTGACTTCACAATCCAAGCATTAAGGACGGTGTTTAGTCTAGAAGAGGTTCCTATGGTGTTAGTGGCCGATAATGGCTCTCATTTTGCTGCAGATGCAGTCACTACCTGGTAGAATGGTATAGGGTGCAAACATCTGTTTTCTACTCCCAGACATCCTTGTTCTAATGGTCGGGCAGAAAATTTCATCAGGACATGAAAGACTGCTATTGATTCTATAGCCGCCCCAACATTTAATGAGCTGGTAAATGGAATAGATACCTTTCTATTGCAATATAGAAACGCCAGATATTCGGTGACAAAGGAGACTCCATCGAAGCTATTGAAAGGAAGAATTCTTCGGTCGAATATGAAATGTTTGGAGTCTGCAGAAGTTACATATTATCGTGGAAACGATCTTCGACCATCCACGGGGATTGTGATGAAGAATGTCGGATAATATATGGTGCGAATTCTATATATCAGTGACTTAAGTACACACAATCGACATGTTGATCAAACACAATTCCAGAAACCAGGTGAGTCTGTTCCAATTTCGGTTGCTAATTCTTATACTAATTAGTACATTCTTGATAAATCAAAATCCTTATCCAAAACACTGTCCGACAGACACAGGATGAACTTGAGAAGACGTACAATTGATTATAGACACCCAGACTTCAATTTAAGCTGTGGCGGATGTGGTGTTTGATTGAACTATTGATTCCTTTGTACTTGTTGAATGCTTGATTTCGAATTCCAAATACAGTACATTCGTCTGTGTTTATCGAGTACTTCTTGATCCAATTGAGTTATTTCTGGGATTCTTAGTTCATATTATAATTAAAATACTCCTAAATATCACACTATACCATTTTGTGATTAAGAACTGGCCTTTGATACCTACACGCTAACGTCAATGGACAATAAATAAGTCAGATCACCCCATCAAAATTTGCAACTTAACTCAAAAAATAAGATGCTTCATATACATAACACTTTTATGATTTTGTAGGTCAGCTGTCTGAATGGACCGAAACGATGAAAATGTAAACGAATATTACGGAGACTAGTCTAAACTTTAGAAACCCTTCTTCTAAATCTATTCGTCTTGGCAAACATGACCGGGGATCCAGGACCAAAGTAATTAATTGTAACAATCTATCACTAAAATGAAAACTAAGTGAACAAATGTTTCCAGTTCGCAAATTTTTATAATCAGGAGGGTCTGGTCCGTTAATGCTACCAACTCCTGATATTTCCAGATCACCTTAAGCAATAATGAATATTTCCCACTACCTAGTCCCCAATCAACACTACAACTACTTATTCATAATTGTTTCTGGATATCGTCATAACGCATTATTATGACTTGACAATTACGTGATATGATTGGTAAGACTGATGAAACTACAACCAAGCTCGGTCGACAAACCGACTTACGATTATCATAAGGTACTGTTTTCTCGTATTTATCTCAATCTTGTGGCGGTAAAGAAATCCCCAAAATAAATAGCTCCATAAGTCCTCAACTTTTAATACTGACCTCATCAATTAACTGGGTACACCTAACTGAAGGTGCATTGTCACGCATCCCCACCAGACCAAGAGTACGCACACCGTATTGCCCATCCCTTCCAACCGTTAACTAGCTTGGGATAAACCCTTCACGATAAATTGGTAGCCTTCCGAATATATCTTCCAACCACTTCATTTCTGACTTCTGATTTGGCTGGGTTGACATACTTAGATTATAAAAGTGTTACGCGTAAAGGCGTTGTCCAACTCCGAAAACGTGTATCACCTTTAATCTGTTTTAGATTATTTCAGTAAGTTTATCTATCAGTTTCTCATATAGTAGACATCTTGGAACCTTGTCCGTCTAATTGGAAGTTTAGTGACACAAACATCCATGCGAACTGTCAGTATAAGCAGTTGATCAAATCTCCTGCAAACTGAGAACAACATTTTCAAATTTGCCTCAATACTAACAAAGATATATGTCATTATCTCAGACCTGAGTTGAGTTTTACTCCTCTTAGTTACAACTTACGCGCTCTCTGATAATCTCATGACCATCACTCACTGTTTATCATCTTGTAGGGATTGATATGGTTGAAAGCATTGCATAACACCATGTCGCATATATTTGTTGCCTAAAAGTATAGGTGATTTCAACACCTTATAGTCACTCGTTCATGCGAATCGTCTTCTATATTACCACAAACTTGATACACTACCAACCAGTGTGTATGAATACAAAAACCTGGTTCGTCGTACATCAGAACATTGATTCTAGAACATGTCTCTCATGGATGCGATCACGTTCAACGAACTACCATCAGTTATCTGTCGAAAATCCATATAATTATCTGTATTTCCACGTATTAAATGCAGTTTTGATAACAGTTCGTATGTATTATTAGTACTACTAAATCTTATCACGGTTAAGCAATAACGAGGTTGATAAAAGCTCCCTATAACTAAATAAACCGAACTAAACTTAATAAACTAACTGAAACGCTAGTTAGAATTCATGCTCTTCAAGGCTATACTTCTGTTCCTTCAGTTAGCCTATCAATACAAATGCAATCGAAAATCAGCATGCCAATACGAATATTAAAATTGACTTTCTAATTACGACCAAATAAAACAGTTATCAGCATCTCTTTGCAATATTGATTGTTCTCCTAAGAAGAGGCACACATCCCACATGCAACTTGCAACTATTGCTGAGTATAGTGAGCCATGACGAGCATGGTATTATACTTATGTGGTGTTTGAATGAACTAATGATTTATTTGTGCTTCTTGAATGCTTGATTTCAAATTCTAAATACAGTATATTCGTTCGTGCTTGTCTAGTACTTCTCGATTCAGTTGCGTTATTTCTGTGATTCTTAGTTCGTACTATAATTCAAATACTCCTGATTACCACAACTAAATACACTGTCTTCGAATATTATCGCACTAATAGGGTTACGTGAGTATATCACACATCATCCACCCTCTTTGTGGTGTCGGTTGAAAGATGAGGTGTGTATTCATCTGTACTTAGTTCTTCATTTCGTATTGTAGACGGGCCCCACGTTTTCGTTATCAGGACAATTTCTGGCTAGGTAATTGAAAGAGACATCCTAGGTTCTGTTGTTTTATTACTTACCCGACGTTTCCAACGGCCTGAATTAGTCAGAGAAACCTCTTGATTCATTAAGCAAACATTACGAACCCATGAGCTCTTTATATTGTGAAAAATCCTCATTTTATTCAGGTTTTTGGGTTAGCTTACTTTTAGTACATATTGTACGGAAATTATTATGGTAACCAGATTACCTTGACATTTAACTCTGGAAGGTCATATATTATCCATAACTAATCACTTGTATATTTACGTTTTTAAGCGTTTTACGTGTCCACTTAGGCATATAACGTGTACTTGATCAAGTGTCATTTTTCTACTAATGCTTATCAACACAAATCACTTGATGCAGTAACCTGATGTTGATGGACTCCTAGTAAGAGTGTACATGAGTAAATGAGGTAGACAATATAAAAAATTATGCATGACAACGTCACAAAAAACTCACGATCTTGATACCAGCCGCATACAACCATATTCAAGTTTTTTCGAGTAAACTGAAAAGCAAAGTGTAGTTTAATGCCAAAAGTCACAGTAAGACTGACTATTAATTAACTGTATAGGGACTATTTTTAGGGGAATGGAGAAACCCGTGAGTTATGTTCTTCTGAATGGACTAGTTGGTCAGTACCACTCACCTATTGTTTGTTTCAATCTGACGATTAATCTGATTGAAGAATTAGCTGCGATTCAGCACACCAGTGGATGGTCACAACGGTTGCTGAGGCAGGACGAAGAACGCAACAGGACAATATATACCTATTTATCAAGAAACAATGATTAACTGCTTACCCAAAATAAATAGTTCATGACCAGATAGAAAAGTGAGATCAGCAATTGGTGAGCTAAATGAAAGTCCATGAAATTAGACCGGTATTAACTTCACTTTGCTTCCGTTATATATTTTATCTGACTCTGCCAACATTTCAATATTGTTCAGCCATATTGATGTTGTGGAGTTTGGACGTAATGGATTTGATGAGGTCATACAAATTTTGACTACATCAATGGACCAACCCCATTGGTGCCTGTAATATGTTGAGTGATCTGCAGTTACTACCACTGACTGATCTTAGTTAAACAACTGTTCACCATCGGAAAGCATTGAATAACTGCTTCCCTGCAGCATGGGACTCCATATTGTTGGGCACCTATGACCCAGTCGTGACTAAATGCAAGACCTTCAATTTTATCCATTAGTTCACAAGTTTAACTTTCATACCTTCTCATGGCCCATGGATACTTTTCGCCATCACTAGTGGATTACGGGCTCATATATATACTCCTGACTGAAGAACTATATAATACTGCTTTGAAATTTACCTAAGACGTCATTTCGAAAAAAATCTCTCATTGTGTGCTCTCACATTAAGAGGTATATTCCCATCCTTGTAAAGTGTTCGTTTATGTACCAAATTGCACTGAAGTAGACATCTGTTTAGGATAAAAAATGTATAAGTTCTAAAAAAATCTGTGCAAATCTCTTGTGGGCAAAACCGCCAAACTGTCGAACTCATCATCAGATGTGGCAGTAACAAAACCTTTTATAGACTCTCCTAAAAGAATACCCGGCTCCTACTAAAATTTTGTAGGCATCAGAGTGATAGTAGTATGTGATGCTCTACTATCACTTCCATCATTCGTAACTAACCAGTTTTATCCTACAGGCTCAGAAGAAACACGAGAAGAATCATAACTTTAGATTAATTAAAACTCTCCTGCTTCCCAGATATAAGTGTCAAGGAACAAATAGCACGCTCATTCTTCCAAACAATGTTGGTATTCGGAAGTCTTAGTCGTATGTCCAACCCCGATGGTTGTGGTTGCACACAACAGAATAGTTCCACTATCGAATAAGACAATTGTTCAAGGCTTTCTAGGTTTCAGCGGTATTCTAAGAACGATCAGTTCGTGACATAAACTCTGAATTCCACTATCCTCATAGGCTGACAACTAAATTTTGTGGCGGGTAGTACGTCATTCGAGGTCATTATGTCCAATGTAAAACCGAAGAGTGTGTCGGATATATTTTGTGATGCACATGCTTTGCATGTAGTTGACACAAGCAGAGCCAAAGACGGAGTTTGGTTAGTCAAAGTTCCAAAATATTTGGCTGAACTTTGGCATAATGCTGGTCCTGATGGTGTAGTTGGCAAAGTTGTGATCGCAAGTTCAACTAGTGCATCTCAGAATGGTAACAAAGGCCCAGGGTCACAAGTCACTCTTGTTACTGATTCAGAACTATTAAATCAAGTCGGAGAGTCCGGAAATCTGATACCAAAGGTAGGTAGTACGTTTTATACAAAACCACACGTTAAGATTGTAAGGTTATGTGTAATTAACTGTTTCTTCATTGTACTACTAAAAATCAGTTCAAAACAGTCCCTGAAGCATCAGTCTTGATTTCTTTATTCTTCCACATCATACAATGAACTTCGAATATCGTATTTACGTCTAAATGTACGCCAAATCATCTCATTTTAGTCTAAACAGAAACGGTTCACGCACATTTCTATGCTTGTAGCTCTAAATTTCTTCTGTGGTCGCCTTTATTTCTATTGCAAAACACGTTTAGAACAGCAGTAAAAGGTTTTCATTTCAAATTAGTACTTACATCTTTTGTTTTCGTTCAACGACGCTTTTGTAGTTTATCTCATGTGAAAGTCCCCTTGCGTCGCGATATCAGCGCGCCTAATAAATATGAAGGAAAAGCACTTTTAATTCGTAAGTCTGCACCCCTTAAATACCAATTGGTGTTAAGTGGTTGGCAACGTCAGGTTTCACGAGTCCAACACAGCGTATGCGAGCTTTATTAGTATCATCCACAAGTTGCGTCACCATACACATCTGGAATGTAATGCGATAATCCGATAAATATGATAGCCCTTCAAATTTGTTTCTCATATCTCCTTGTTGAAGAGATGCATCTAACGTCCGCAGTTCCTCTTCAGATGACAAACGGAACTGTACACTTGGAAGTCCAATGTTAAGTTTCGTGGATAATCACATCCATCAGCTTAGACGCTAGCTGCATAATGTTTTCACACTAGTCTGATATTTCTGATAATATGTCCGGCAGAACAGCATGTAGTTTTCTGAATGTTCAACATTAACTTAAATCCCAAATGTGACATACTCAGCCGTTAACCCACTGTCAACACGCTTTGAAATGGACGTGGAGGACGACGTTTCTAATTGTTAAAAACTTGTTTATTAGCATTATAAATAAAACACCCTTACTTTTCAATTAGTGGCACTGTAGTGTCTAGTAACGTAAACTATATTTCGAACGTGGCTGTTTCCAGCCTGCATTCCAGACACGTCCATATTAACGGAATTATACAAAAACCCTTGTTTCCGTTTCAATGCCTCCACAAAAAATTAGTACGGTTACTAATAACCTCTTAGCCTTCTCTATGTTTAGTGCATAGTTGTTTTCGTCCGTCAAAATATTGACATGGTAGCCAGCCAGTTTACTGAATAAAACAAGTCCTTCTCAGTTTGCTTTTGTTTGTTGAGGAAACGAATGCCTCTCTAACTCACTATAGCAGTTGATAAACTTGCATTTGATGATTGGCCAGTTGTCATTTGGTTGAGCACTTATCCAGGTGAGTATCCATAAAGTTGTTAAGATACAAACGAAGTTCTTTTTTACTTGCTGCGATTGGAACCTTCGTGCTTGACGCACTGATGAGTACAAACTGACTAGTAGTACGCTTGACAGTATATAATAGTTAGGAATTTATTCAAAATGATAACATTAACAAGAAATACAAAAACATATTCACATGAATGTATGTAGCGACAGAATGATTACTACATTATTAAAGCAGTTTACGGAAATACACTTACAGTATACATCGTTAGTGAAAACCCACATATGCTCATGACTAACTTCCGAGCACATAAATATATCTATGCTACTAGAAGAGAATGCTTCCGTAAAATAATCTCGTGAGTCAGTGAGTTCTAAATTTAATTAGTCTATTTTCCCCTATGTCAATGATTAGCCCATGTTTATTGTGTGTTGTTATTACGTAATCCGACTTAAGTGACTTTAGTGTTCTTAGGCATAACTATTCATTTTTTGTGGTTGTACTTGACGGACGTGTCTATATTAATTCCCGACATGCTAGCTCAAGGTCTACCAAAGAAAGATATATTTTCCTCACAACGCTAAGCTGCTTGCTTTGTTATAGCTTAAACACTATGCACCGATTTCTTAATCTACCTCATATAACAAATCCCAAGTCTCATGCTAACGAACGTCATCAGGAAGGTACTTTAACAAATGAGCATTATAGATTAAGGGTTCCGGTCCGCAACACCCTTCATATTATGTGAGAAACTTCATTAACTCATTTCTAACTGAATCCGTTGCCATGATGCACTAACATATATCGTTGATAGTAAACTTTTAAAATTTAATCAAGATGGTAGTGGTAGAAAAATTTTAAGAATTATGGAGCCAAAATAGAGAAGGAACAATGGAAATTATATCCCTTTCCATACGGAAATGAAGTCTAATGTACGACATTTATTTATACCCCGTGATTATAGATTTATTCATGTTTCTAAGTCTGTTGTAAAAGAAACCTATCCATAGATTGATTAGTCTTCTCATCACTCCCAAGTACATTATGTGTATTAGGTCTAGAAAGAATGTTTTTAATTCATATTAGCTGGAAGTGTCTAAAAATCAGAAAGTCCTTGATGGTTAATTGGTTGAATCTGTTGACGGGAATTGTCGTCACTTTGCAAATTGTGTTCGCTTGAAAACGTCCATCTTTCGAGGTGACGACCTACAACATACATATCATAGCCTAATTTTCTATTGTGGTTAACTGTGCATCTAACATCTGAATAAACAGGTGCGTCACATATAACGATTACTAGTTTAATAGTTATATATTTGTTGAACTTAACACTGTATACCCCCAGGTCGCCCATTTCTTTTATTTCAAAAATGTTGTCAGCAGATATGGTCTATATTAAGACCGGTCGTTGCCCTTAGGTTTAGTGATGTGTTCATGGTAGATGCTTATGGAGGGAATATTAAGCCGGCCAAATCTTAACAAAATTTCTGTTGACACCATCTCTGAAATAAAATAAATAAGCGAACTTTCATCATGAAGCTTGAAGTTTCCAGCTACTTCACACTACTTGGCATTTAAGAAGTGCAGGCTTACGAATTAAAAGTTCTTTCCCCTTCATAATCATTAGGCGCACTGACAAGGGGACTTTCACGACATGAGATAAACTACAAAAACGTCGTTGGACGAAAACAAAAGATGTAAGTACTAGTTTGGGATGATAACGGTTCATTGCTGTTTTATAGGTAAAGTGTTCAGTGTTGATGAACATTACCATAAATCCGACCTTTTTGGCAGTTGTTTAAAAAGCATGTCAATTAAACACTTAACAATAAAGACGCATTCTTAACAAATAACTCATTAGCTATTACCTGTAACTGTCTTTGGCAGATCATCGTAAAGGACAGCGGAACTTCGCAGTTACAATCAAAGTCCGTGACGAACATCTGTATGTCATTAATCCCTTTAAACGATTATGTTATTTCCTGCCAATGAATATCCTCAACTATGTGTCGTTTTTTAATCCAGTCGACTATGTCTAAACGTTTTTTCGCAATGGCAATTAAGGGGACCACATGGGACATTTGGGGCTACAAGCATAGAATTGTGCGTGAACTCTACCCGAACGGATGTGATAAGGAGAGAATTCGGCGCAAATTTCAATGAAAAGTAGATAATTGGCAGTAATAAAAATATACAGCAATGAAAGGAGGGTGTCGTACTATTTTCATACACGAGTCGAAAAATAAGACTCTTTAGCACTTTTTACCGCTTATTTTCCTGCTGAATATCCCCTTTGTTTCTCTTTTCAGTTGCTTAGGTCACTCCAAGCCCTTGTCATCGAAAACGTCGCAGTGTATTAATCCATAATCTTAATTTCATGAAAATTATCTGAGTTACTACAAAACCTTTCTGTACAGTGATCAGTCTTGCGGGTTCCTTTGACAGATGTACTTATGTTCTTAATAATCCCAGGCTTTATCTGAATAAATATTCCGTCCGGTTCTGATGATTGAGTGACCGATTTTTTCAAATAATAAGCCAATGTTGTTTTACTTAAGGCAATTGAACTAGTTCTCTCCACTCAAATGATTGTTTCTTCGATTCATTCAGGAGCACTTGTGACTAAAACTGTGCCACGTACTCTACATGCAGCAGATTTTTGTGTCTCCCAATTTTCAATAGAAAAATCACTTATATCAGTTGCCTTTTTTAGTATAAGTCACTCCCATTTCTATGGGTCTTGTTTTATGTTGATCGTATGTAAATTTCTGGTATTACACATTAAGAGGATGATAACCTCTAGGGTCGAAAAGTTTCTTCTAGAAACAGCTTCGTAGCACTAGAAAAAGCTAATCTACTTTCAAAATCCAATTCATGCCAAAGTTAACCGGGGACCATACCTAACTTCACCTATAGTTCTCAACAGTGGAAAACAGTTTCACACCAGAATTGTTTTGTGCGAGACTGATTCGTTAAAAGCAAGTAGACGGACTATTTTCACTCGCAGGTTCTTAATAAGTAATTAACATCGAATCCACAGGCCACTTAGTTTGCAGATGGAGCAACACGTTAATCGGTTTCAGCAATTTTAGATTTCCTCGATTTTAGGGGTTTCTAGTTATCTATATCATTACAGAAATCTCCTTGCTAGAAAAAAAAACGTTTGACCTTACTGGGAATATTGTTATCATAATTGGTAAAGTTCGATAATATCTTGTCTCTATAAGAAGTACTGAATAAGAATTCTATGGTTGGTAATATTGAGAAAAGTATCTCTAACCAAACTTCTGACCTTTTACGTGTAAGTCTCCACATTTTATCTGGGTGATGCGTTTATATACTTTTGTATTCACTTTACTTGATCTTGACATCATCACATTGTAACTATTACTTACACCACCCAAGTAAATCTATGTTTAATTAGTGAATGAAGTCTTATTTATACTTTCAGGAACATCAGTTTCTGATTCAAACTTCTGCATCATCAAATAGTACACCTGGGACTGCTCGCCCAGGTCAAACTACTCCAAGTTCGACAGTTCAAAGGCGTCCTGGGACTATATCTGGACAAGAACTCATAATTTTATGTGAAGACGACCTTGGATGTGCTCAAACCAACTCGTTTCCATCTTCGACGACCAACACAACTTTAATTTCCTCTGCAGCCCCACATTCTCCATTCTCAAATAAACCGTACGCTCGTTACTCTCGGCGACTATCTTTGTTTGGTCGTGTTAACAGTAGAGCTGAATGCAGACCACCACCCAATACAAGATATATGATGCTCAAAGCTCAACAGGTAAAAATCTTTGATTTTATCTAGAGGCTTATGTAGGTTCATAAAATATTTCCTAATCTTGAATGTCCTATTTTGTACCCATCCTAGTTCTAGAAATACTCAACCCTCACTCTTGTCCTAGTTTTATATTTCTTTTATTTCCTCAAGCTCAAAGCAAAGAATCGACCGCGACATGAAGTCTGTCTCCTTTATGAACCAGTAAGAAATTACAAACCAGTTTCCAATCATGTCAACAATGTAAGTATATTTTCTTTATTTCATTCATGTTACCGTCCATTTTCTTTGCAACTTACTATTCATTGTTGAAACAAAGTATTATTATGGTATAGTGATATATATATTGAACTCGAATATTATCTCAACCTAACATAGATATAACAACGGTAGTTTTGCGATGTCAGTGTTACGTCTTCCTCCCATTATTCTCGTAAACAGGTAGTGTAATTTAACCGACACTTAGCAAAATTTTCAGATTCATAACCGCTGACTTAATTTCTCACTGGTATCCATAATAACTTACAAATTTGTTGATTTCATGCTTAAATTCCATCTGCTACTTGGTTTATATTATGGTGCTTCCAATTTCGACTTAGGACTGATACGCATAGCTCGTGAAATATATCCACTTCAGTTTATGTGACGACTAGAAACAAGACTGATTCGTGGGGGTTGTGACTTGGCCTAAATGCTAATGGCTGCTGCTGGTATGACTGGTTAATAAGTGTCACCTCACTATTTCAAGTAATAAATTGATAAACCATAGATAACAGCTTGCTTTATGTTACAAATCCACTTTTACCCTGATTAATCAAAGGAATAGTCTTTTTAGACTTGTTTACTCTGTTATAGATTGCTGACCTTATACTCTCTATACTTTTGTCCACCTGAAATCTCACTGGAAACTTTACATTATTAACCACCGTCTATAATATCAACAAATTCGTTTGCGTTTGTATATTAATGTATTTTAATCACTGCTAAGTTTCCGCTGACTGCTTTGCATTAAAATCATTAAATATTTGTTTTCTAGATCGAGTATGAAAATCGGAAAAAGGTTGAGGGTAAAAATCTTAGACGTGAAAAAGAAGACGTTTTGCAGGATTTGTTCAAAGCTTTCGAAAGACACCAATATTACTCTATTAAAGATTTGGTTGTACTTACTAAGCAACCATTGGTAAGCATCTACATAATTTGCTCTCTATATCTTTGTTAGTTTCAGTTAGTTTTAATCATAATCCTGATCAAATTCGAAATACTTTGATACCGTAGAATCTACTAACACGTATCACGTTCGATGATTGGTCGTATATGTCTCATCGTCGTTTACTTATAACTAGTCAAAATCCTCAGTAATTATTGGTTAAAACTGTGTTTATTATATCCATTATTTTTAGATGTTAGATTAATTCTGTCAATTTATTGTACATATAATCACTGATATGTTTTTCACCCTTAACCTTCTCTTGTTTATCTTGCGTTTACAAGCAAAAGCACCATCATAAAAATGAATTTCTGTCGATAACCATGACGGGATTCAAGAAAGGAAGAACAAGAAAACAGCAATTAACAGCAGCCGAACAGCAATAGAGGAAGTCAAGGCATAATCTGGACACACCAAAGCAAACAAGCAAGTGAAAAGAAGAATTAGAGCTGACAAACAGAAATACGCAGAAGACCTGGCAGCGACAGCGGAAGAAGTTGCTAAGGGAGAGAATATGAGACAACCATATGACGAAACGAAGAAACGAGCAGGGAAATATAGTTAACCAGAGCAACCAGTCAAGGACAAAGAATGCAAACCAATCACTGAGGTTCAAAAACAGAAGAAAAGTTGGTAGAGCACTTTGAAGAACTCTTGAATAGTCCAGCCCCACTGAACCCACCGGACATCGAAGCATTACACACAAACCTCCCTATAGCTGTTAGTAACAACGACCAAAGAAATTAGGAGTGAAAAAGCAGCAGGACCTGACAACATACTAGCCGAAGCAGTGAAGTCATATCAGGCGGGCTGTTTGAATATCTGGGCCTACCTGTCTCTGCCATCAAGATATTTCAACAAGTTATCTGTTTTCTTGTTTTTCTTAACACATCATTATGCCCGTTAGTCTCATAACCTATTCAGGTGTGTTTGTGAAAAGTTTACTGCATTTCGCTGTACAACTTACGAAAGAGCCTAATCAGAGACACCGTGGTTGTTGGCAATATGCTTCGAAAAGAATATACATGATTCAAATGTCGATTCCTGCTAACATCTAACTGGCGACCACTCAATATTTATCGCAAGGATCGGTCAAGAAATAAGAAAAGGAAACTTGTTGAAATACTGTGCTGAGAATTCTATACTGTACCAAAAATATAATATTGAATAAACGTTTCTAACAATGTATCAATAAACCGACTGAAGGATTCAGTAGACATACAGCTTCGAGATCAACAGGCCGGATTCCGTAAGGGTCAGTTATGCACAGACCAAATCGCAACACCAGAGGTCATCGTTAAACAACCAGTTAAATAGAACTCGTCATTGTGCATCAACTTTCTTGACTTGAGTGCTGTTAGAGGTATGAGGGTGGTTATCACTTCCCGGTTGCCGACACCGTGGAAGGGTTCTTCCGAAGGTACCTGAGAAGAAAATTGGATTAGAGGTGGCCTTAGTGACCTGAGAGCGTGACCGCAGTGCCCAAGGGACAACTGCTTGAGGTCGATCACACACGACCTTTTTATGAGTAATTTTTGTGTTAGCTCGTACTTGTTGAGACCCTACCGCGGGGTACGGATAAGGCGAGGTGTGCATTTTTGGGGTCGACCTTTTCTAACTCCACCCCTCCTTGTGGAAAGGCAGCATCGCTGTCATGTTGATTGTCTGAAGAAAATACCTCACTGCTATCACACCTCTGTACAGTCAGCAGTACGACTTCGCCTTCGGACCTTAGGTTTGTTGCTTTTAGTCTTACCGCTCTTCAACCGACCTGTCTGACATGGTAGGGCCTTGAGTAACGGTTGTTCCAATCAGTATAGCTCGGTTGCTTCATCACGATAGGCAAGCCCGACCACCACGCCAAGGTAGCACCAACAGTCGGTGTCCATCTTGTTGTGTTAATGAGGTATGGCAACTTGGACCGATGCATATGTGTGCCTGGTCCTACGTTGTAGCTGACTGACTGACTTCCTTGACTGTGCGAAGGAGTTCGACAGTATGGATAGGAGAAACTTATGGAACCTTCTTCGACACAGGTGTAACTGAGAAGTTCGTCAAAATCATCTGAAATTCATTCTCTTCTGGTGGTTGACTGAACTATAAAGATCACATCTGAGGGTAAGCACGTAATATAATGAACAGCTTGCATGAAACTAGACGATTTGGACTTCTCAGATGGCCTAGCCCTTCTATTCCATACACTCCAATAGATGCAGGTCAAGGTAACCAATGTAGCGTATGCCTCTGCATCAGTAAATCTCAACGTACACAAGGGAAGAAGCAAGATTAACGTTAGATCCACATCTGATTGACGCAATGAAAATTGAAACATAAAGTAAGACTAACTCCACAACATAACGCCTTTGATGTAGATGCAAGGTATTTAATTTGTTTTGAAATCTAGGCCTGTCGTTCATGTACCCTCACATTAGCAAATATTAATCTGGAAATATTCACGCAACCAATTAATTTGTTTCGTTAGTTTTCTATAAACTAAAATATTTAATTTCAGTTTTCCATGTTTATGATATATCCTTTTTTTATTTTCAGGCCTATCTTACAGAGATACTAAAGGAAATTGCTATCTTCAACACTCACATTCCACACAAAAATATGTGGGAGCTGAAACCTGAATACAGACATTACACACAGCCTGAAACTAAGACTGAATCTAACATGGAATAAACCATGTAAACGTACACCAATTTGTAAATTAATAAAGGCGTTCCTTCCTGTAATTGTTTTTACCTTAACTCATTACTTAATTTGCATAACTCCCAAGTTTCAAGCATAACTGTTTCCACTGTTTAAAAAATGCTTTAACTAACTGTTTATATCCATCTGCCTTCAAAATTTAATTTGAAAAGTTCTCGATTGCTTTATGTTTAAATCTGCCACCACAAAATGTTGAGAATGTGTATAAGCTAACTTTCAGATAGCAGGTCGGGTTCCTTACTTCAATGACGTTCTCACTAACCACTAGACGATACAACCCAAAGAAGTATTGCAACCAAATTTTGTATGAACTCAAAGCAAGACTGCTCTCCGTTTGTTGGACAAAACTATGTTCCGTGAACATATCTTAGAAAAAGGTTTTGTTGTTCTCAATGCATTATACAGAACATCCAATAAAAAGCATGAAACCACCAACGCATTGCTGACAACCAGGAGTTAAAGAGTGTTCTTGTCCATCATCACCAGCCTTCCCTTAGCATTACACTCGATGACGCTCTAGAAGCAGTTTCTGGAAGTACTGTAGCATTGTGGGTCCACAGAACCTAGAAATGCTATAATCTGTGTTAGTGTATACCATAATACAACGTATAAGATTGTCACATACACAATCAGACGCTGATCAGGATTATTGTGGTATCTGCTTCGAACTAAATTGTGAAGTACATCTACCATAAAGACAAAACTCTGCTACCATTTACCATCAGTGAACCATTGGGAATATGGTAAAAGAAGTTATGGGATTGCTGTGATGATATAGTCCATCTCTTTAGCAAACTACAGAACAACACACACCGCCTTCGGCTACCTTTAGTACCGATACGAAGTTAGTTTCTCTGAAAGGTTAAGTAAATACATCCTATGTATGGCTTTTTAGCAGCTGCTATATCGAACAATGGTGGTAGTCAGAATGAGACTATAACTAATTAACAAACCAATCGAATTTAAGATTGCGAGTTGTGGACATTGGCGCGGGATCCATTCATATCTATTTGGCCAAATAGCATTTTAGCACCATGGCTGGTGTCAGTTCGTTATGTGAACCGTAACCTTATTACCGAACTTTACTCCCAATTCTAAATCCCGATTCAGATTTTGCACTCATTTATAACCCTCTCTTACCTTGGTAATCTTGCAAAGGTTACTTGGGCATCGGTCGAAGGTTGTTCATGAATAACAATCTCGCCATACTCAATACCGGCACAGTCGATCCCTTGAGTTTACCCGTAGGTATCAAACGTTTCAATGACTCCAAATGCCAGATTGTTCGAAGCCGGAGTTAACAGCGGTCTTACCGCAGTCGCTCTGTGTATTTTACGTAAGTTGTACGACTTGATAGCTGATGATATTAGTGGAGTTAGTGTTGGTTGTTTTTACATCTTGTCTATATCCTTTAAAGGCTTTTCGCGTACAACTGTGTTATATTTTTTATGAAAATACCTTGTTTTCTATACACATTTACTGGTCCCTGATTGTATTAAGTAATTCTTTACATTTAAAAGCGTTTTTCTGTGAAAATTTTTTATTTTTGGTAATTACAATTTATCGTCTGTTGGGTAAAGGAGATCTTGTACAGTTACAATAGTTATGATTAGTAGCATTTTTCTGTAAAAATGCTCAATACATAGTGATTTCATTGGAGTATAGCCTGTACCTTAACGTGCTGGCACAGTTCACTCGAGTAATTTATAGGAAAATCGGATAGATGCATAACTTTAACAGAATAAAGAAGGCGTAACATCTACAAAAGGTAACATAAGGTGTCCCAATTTGATGTGTTTATCTTTAATGAGAAAAACAATTTTCCAGCTTTGGGTTTCATTTTTGAACAAATCATAAATAAGAAAAAACAATATCACATTTCGATTCCTGATGTATTTTGTCGCATAAATTATGCACTGGTTACTGAATATTTCTCATTCATGTATTGCACTTTACCGGGAATTCCGGTTTATTCGATTACCTAGAAGTGTGTGTACATAAACGCAGCAAAGTTGTAATGCAATAAGTAGGTAAGCCAATGGTTTTCTCGCACACAGCGATAAAATAAAAATGATATATAGTGTCGATTGTCATCTGCAGTCATTTTTGGCGCTTTACAATTCGAAAGGAGTAGGTAATGAGCAAATATTAGCGCCTCCCAAGGCGAACTGATGCTCCGAACGAACTCCGAGAACTCCCAGCACTAAGTGGATTCCCATGGTTGTCTAGAAGACCAGTTGCGGTAGCTGGTCGTGCAGGTGGTATTGAAGTGCTCAAAAGGCTTCCTGTCGTTGTGGTATTGGTGGAGGATTGATCTAAATCTTGATCTTCTGTTTCCTGCTGCGAGTTGCTAGTAGTCCCGGGAACAGAGTAACTGACTAACGCACCACTAACTGAACCTGAAACACAATTTGCTTTCCGCATGGCAATTTCCAGAAGTTCTGCATCACTTAAATTTCGGCTTGCGACTGAAAGTAGTGAGAGCATTTCCTCATGAATACGTGATTCTGGGAATTCTACCTGGATAAATGTATAAAAACGAAAGCATCTGTGTAAATAAAAGCAAACTATACATGAATATAATTAAGATAGACTACTTATTACGAAAAGTTAATAAATATGCAGTAAGAGATGGTTATTTAATAAACAGGTGTTAAAGTCTGTGGAATTTGGTATTTCTGAATGATTAGAGAAGTCTCGCCAAGTATAAATTACATATGCCAATTTCAACAACTAGTTCCTTTCACACCCTTTAAAGACGCTACATTTTTATGTTAAAATTCGTGCCAAAATCACCAGCGCTTGTGAAGCGCAGATCACGGAACTTGCTGTACTAATAATCTGATATATATAATGAACTAGATCGATTGACCTTTCCATCGTAATTACTGAGTCAGTCAGTAACAACGTAGAACTTCGTACGTACGTACATCAGTTCGAGTTGCCACACCACATTAGCACAGAGATGCAGTTGTCGATTCAAATCCCATTGTGGTAGAGGTAATAAGAGTATAAGCAGTAATCGAGAAGATTAGGGTTTGGAGATGTTATTTAAACAGTATAATCCAGTGAAATAAATTTGGAAAGAGGAAAAAAGGGACATGAAGAATTCAGAAGATTAGAATTTGGGAGGACACAGAGAGTGGATGCACCTGCGCCATTTCAAACGATTTTCAGCCATATCATTCAGGGTCTCTAACCATCGGTTGCTATCATCTCGCGGTCCCCAACCATGTAGTCTACACCTACCAACATGACTCAGTCCACTTGTCAATGACTTCATGAACTTGTGCCATGTTTTGGTCTGGCCGCCCCTTGCTTTCTTCCAACCTACTCCTATGCCACTGAACATAGCACGTCGAGGCAGTCGGTCGTTGGGCATACGTAACACGTGTCCCAGCCATCTCAACTGATGAAGTCTCACTACCTCATCAATTGATTTGCCATCCTTACCTAGTACCCGTTTCCTTACAACTGCGTTACTTACTCGGTGGTCCCAGGATATACGAGCAATGCTTCGAAGACACCTATGATCAAATACTAGTAACCTACGGATATCCTCTACTCTTATCGGCCATGTTTCACTGCCATAAAGTAGGACGGAACGAACTGCTGCGCAGTAAACCCGTCCTTTGGTTGATAGACGGATATCTCGCCTACGCCATAAATGACGCAAGTTGGCAAAAGCTAGTCGAGCCTTCTGTATCCGTGCTGAGATTTCGTCACACACCAGACCACAAGAGCTGATGAGACTTCCAAGATAAGTGAAGCGATCGACACGCTCAATTACTTCACTCCCTATCATTAGTTCGGGTGTCAATGCAACCCAACCCTGAAGCAACATTTTGCATTTCGAGAATGGGGAGAATCGCATCCCGAACATGCTTGCATTGCTGCTTAGAGTGGTCAGAAGACTGCATTTTGTCAGCGTCTTCACCAAATAAAACTATGTCATCAACATATTCTAAGTCAACAAGTGAACCTCCTGGTAGAAGTTCAACCCCTGGAAATTTAGATGACGGCACCATAAGATCCACCTAGGTGTCTTTCCCTATCGCTTAGTTTACCTACTTGAGCAATAAAGTCACCGGCCATTATTACCACATCCGAGCGCCTAGGTTTTAGGAGGTCGGAAAGCTTTCTGTAGAACTCATCTTTTACATCATCTGAGCTGCAGTCAGTGGGAGAATATGCAGAGACGACGATGAGGTAACGACGAGTGTCCCTATCTTTTCGGATCCTTACTGTTCCGTTCAGTCGGACAGCGCACAAACGACTGTCTACTGGGATTCACTCTAAGAGAGCTAGTTCTGCCCTAGGACTCAATGCTATGCCTACGCCGGCGAGGCCACGGGAAGCAGAATAAGGTTTTCCAGATACACGAAGTGTGAATCGAGTCGGTTCTTTATTTTGGCATGGTGAGGTCAGATGAATGACGGTACTCGGATCCTGTATGCGCGTTTCGGAGACGCAGCACACATCGATGGCGCGAGATTCTAAAGTTTTAGCTAAGGAAGCCTGCTGTCCTATTTGGCAAAGTGTTCGTACGTTAAAAGCTCCTACGTGTAGTTTAGAGCGTGGTTTCAGGAGACCAGGAATAGAGTTCCACGTACTCGAATCGTTTGCCCTAGCGGTGCGAGGTGATAAAGAGACGTGAGGAGGGTTAGTCATGGAGATAAGAGAGGTATTAGGAGGTGTAGGAAGGATTTGAATGTGACCAACTTGGTCTAGTGCGCTGTTACGGGTATGAGGGCTGATATCATTTCCCGGCTGCCCACACCGTGGAATGGTATTTCTTGAGGAAACTGAAAAGGAAATTGGATTAGTGTTGGTCTTGACGACCTGGGAGCGTGACCGCAGAGCCCAAGGGACAACTGCTTGAGGCCGGTCGCGCACGGCCTTTTCGTGGAAGGTTTCTAATGCGTTAGCTCCGTTCTTCAAAGGGCTTTACCGCCGGAGAGGGAAATCCGTGAGGTAAGGTGAGGTGTGACATTTTTAGGGTCGACCTTTTCTCACCCCA